TTTCTCATTTCCATTTGCGTAAAGTATCTTATTCCATCCCTTTACTTTCAGTCTGTGTGTGTCTTTTCATCTGAGATGAGTCTCTTGTAAACAGCATATGCATGGGTCCTGTTTTCTTATCCACTCAGTCACTCTGTGTCTTTTGATTGGAACATTTAGCCCATTCACATTTAAAGTGATTATTTTTAGATGCATATTTATTGTCATTTTGTTATTTGTATTTCTGGTCTTCCTTGGTTAGCTTGTTTTTCCTTTTCTTCTGTTTAAAAAAGCCCTTTTCACATTTCCTGCAGTGCTGGCTTGGTGGTAATGAATTCCTTAAGCTTATTCTTTTCTGAGAAGCTCTTTATCTCTCCTTCAATTTTAAGTGATAGCCGTGCTGGGTAGAGTAATCTTGGTTGTAGGCCTTTATTTTGCATCACTTTGAAAATTTTCTGCCACTTTTTTCTGGCCTGCGGTTTCTGTAGAAAAGTCGGCTGTTAGTCTAATAGGATTTTCTTTGTATGTAACCTGCTGTCTTTCTCTTGCTCCTTTAGGATCCTGTCTTTGTCTTTAACCTTTGCCATTTTTACTATGATGTGTCTTGGTGTGGACCTGTTTGGGTTCAGCTTGTTTGGAACTCTCTTCACTTCCTGGAGATGTATGTCAAATTCCTTCACCAGGGTAGGGAAGTTTTCAGCCATTATTTCTTCAAATACATTCTCGATCCCTTGCTTCTTCTTTTCTCCTTCTGGTATTCCTATGATGCGAATGTTGTTATGCTTGATGTTGTCCCACAGGCCTCTTAAGCTATTTTCATTGTTTTTTATTCCTTTTTCCATTTGTTGACCAAATGGGTGATTTCTGCCATTTTGTCTTCTAAATCGCTGATCCAATCCTCTGCTTCATCTAATCTACTGGTGATTCCTTCGAGTGTGTTCTTCATTTCAGCTACTGTATTCTTTAGTTCTAACTTTTTTTATGATTTTTCTGTCTTTCTTTATGTCCTTACTGAGTTCCTTAAACATTTTTAGCATCAGTGTTCTAAAGTCTGTCTCTGCAAGGTTGGATACCTCTGTTTAATTTAGTTCCTGTTCTAGAAGTTTCTTGTCATATTTTACTTGGCACATATTTCTTTGTTTCTTCAATCTGGCTGTCGCTGTATGATTGCTTTGACATATTAGATAGATCATCTATGTCTCTCAGTCATTGCTTGGTGATCTTGTAGTATGTGTCCTTTAGATACAGATTTTACGGTCTCTATATTCTCCTGTCCCATGTGTTCCAGAGGTGTCGCTGTTGAAATTGCTCCATAATTGGTTTTGGCTTTTCAGAGGGTGGGATTGACTCTCAGACTTTTTAGCTGGGAGAATTAACTCTGTTCACAGTGTATGAGAGTCTGTGTGGAGGTTGACCCTCTCAGTGGAGGCTTGGCTACTGTGGACTCTTGTGCCTGTGAAAAATGTCCTTTGAGAGTACCACTTGGAGGTTCAACCAGGTAATACTCTGGTTTTTTCTTTTCTTTTTTTTTTTTAAAGATTTTTTTTTTTAATTGGGGAATTGGGGTTATGGGAACAGCACTGGGGAATTAGGGGAAGGGGAACAGACAAGTTGCTGTCCTTTTGTTCTTCAGTCTAGTTGTGGAGGACGTTGCTTCACTGGCCCAAGCTGGCACCATCATTGCGCTCTTCCCGGGCGAGGCAGATCAGTCGCCGGCTTCTGGATGGCCGCTCACTGCGGCTGCTGGCCGCTCACGCCGGCTGCTGGCTACACACGGTAGCCCATGGCAACCCACTGCAGCAGGGGCTGCAGCCTACGCCGTCGCCGGCGACCCATGGCAGCCCAGCTGCAGGTCGAGCTGTTGTTCAGCATCTTAGCTGTAGAGGGCAGTGTCACTGGCCCTCATATGTGGGATCCGAACCGGGGCCCTCTGGCATTCCAAGCCAGCTCTTAACCAATGAGCCACTCGGCCGGCCCACTCTGTTTTATTCTAACACTGGCCTCTGGCTGTATTGGTTCTGGTGTTCTTGGGCGGGGCTCCCACTCAGAGCTGTTTCAGACCTGCCTGTTACCTGTCCATAGCTGTCTGGTAGGTGCCTCAAGGCTGTACACAGTTGGCTTCTGGCTGTGCTGGACCTGGGGTCATGTGGGGATGGTTTCTGTTTGAACTGAAGCTGGCTTTCTTTAATATTGGTCCTGAGGCAGTTTATGAAAAGGCCCAGGGCCCTTTAGGCCTGTTCCCACCTGTCAGATGCTGGTAAGGCCCACCTATTGAAAGAGGTTCTTTAGGGGCTTGTGTCTGGCTAATTGACCCGGTGTTGAGGGTGCCTCTGCTATCTGGCGCTAGCTTGGCAGGATGCAGTTCAAGTGAGTTATGTGACGTGACTGGTAGTTTTTAAGATGTTAATGCAGATTCACGTCTTACACCAATACCTGGCCTGTGATCCCCTTGTATAACGTCCCAAGGGCACTACAGCCAGCCTCCACCTCGTGCTCACAGATTCACAAAAGCTGCTCCTGAGTGGCTGTGGTGCAGGTTTGTGATCACTGAACACCACCAAGATGACCCCAGGGCTCTGCAGATAACATTCTGTTGGAAAAAAAGCTTTTCCACAGTTTGTGGACGGTGGGGCCATTCACCCCAGCATCCTTATCCCCCCTGGCAATCCAGCTGTAGGTGGGCGAGGTGGTGTTACAGGTGCATAAAGGCTGTGGTCAGTGGTTTTTACAAATTCAGTGTAGTCTCAGCTCCTGGACCAGTGCTAGTTCTCATCCATTTCATAAAACAGTAACAAAGCTAGGCAACCTAACAGTATCAAAAAAGAAATACACTCCCACAGAAAATCATAAGCAATGATCAGACAGGAGAAACAAAAGTATATAAAAGAGACACAAGTACAAATACAGAAACAGGAGAACAAGGCAGAAAAACAGTGACCAAAGCAATATCTAATAAACAAGTCTGAGAAACAACAACAAAAACAAAACAGATGAAAAAAAAAACAAGGAAAAGGAACAAAAAGTGAAAGAGAGAAAAGAAAGAATAATAATAATAATGTTAATAATAATAAAGAAAAAAGGGGGGAGAAGAAAAAAAAAGGAAAGAAAAGATTAAGAACAATATAGGAAGAGAGATAAAAAAACCCAAAAAACAAAGGCTCTCCGCACGCTTTAATCTGCAGGCCACTTGCTTAGCAATAAAGAGTCTCTGGGCAACTCAGCACCAGCTATGTTGCGGGGAAGGGCTCAGTGCATCATGCGCTGGCCTCTCTCTCAGGCTTGCAGTGAGCTTCCTGCAATTAGCCGCTGTGTGCTCTGGAACTGTGCTCACCACCAAAAATCCTCACAGGTTGTTGCAGGCTCTCTGCTGCAAAAAAAAACCCCTCTGTGGCCTGCGGAAGTGGGTGTTAGGCACCAGGGGCTCAGGGTGCCCCCGGCAACACGCTCTAGGTAGGTGGGGCAGGCCCCTAAGGCACCACGGGGTGTGGTCAGTGGTCCCCACCAAGTCAGAGCAGCATGCACTCCTGTACCAACAACCAGCCCACAGAAACATGCTAGGAATGCTTTGGTCAGATCACGCAGGTGCACAGTTCCTGGCCCAACACTCCCAGGAAAACTCTCAGTCTCAGCCTGTTCCAATCAGCTGCTCGCACATCAGGCAGAGCAGCCTGACAGCCAATCGCCAGCCTGGCAACTCTGCACATGCAGTGCGGAGAGCGGGACCCAAGGTGGCTCACACACTCCCACGTCTCAATGAGCAGCCTGTTGGAGCCGGAGCACGTCCGCTAGGAGTTTACCTGGCTACGGCAGCACAAGCAGTGCGGAGGGTAGGGATCCAAGGCCACATGCGCATGCACGCACACACGCACGCCTGCGCCAATTCAACTGGACCAGTGCGGTCCTAGACCTGACCCTCTGTGGGAGGGCCCAGCCCTGACAAAATGGCGTCCTCCTGTACACAACTTGTGTGCAAGCTCCACACTAGGGGAACTTCCAATAGTCCCAAAACCTCCAGCTCCTGCGCCAAAGGCGCTCAGTTCAGTCCTTCCCTGCAGGCTCCTGGGCTCCACTCACACAGCTACTCCCTCCAGGAGGGACCCGGTGAGTGCTCACCAGCGAGCGAGTCCATGCACCGGCTTCACTGGTTCTCTAGCTGCCCTCAGCCTCACTGAGTTGAGCAAAGAGAGTCCTCACTAATTTCTACTGCCAGCTATCGTAGAACTCCTTTTCCTGGCAAAGTAACTGTGAGCTCGTGAGGGTCTCTCCCCCAACCGGAGAAGCTTCTCCATCACTGAGTTGTCCCTCACGGGGTTCACCCTCTCTCATCTCTGCCCCTCCTGCCAGACTCGACGTGGCCTCCTCTTTAAGTCCTTCATTTAGAGGTTCTATTCATCTGTGTTTAGGGGACTTCTGAGGTTGAATGTTGTATAAATTATATGTAATTTTGGTGTGATCCTGGGAGGCAGTTGGCACAGCGTCTGTCTATTCTGCCATCTTACTGAAAGTCTGTCCCTTGTATCTTTAACTTCACACCTTTTTCTCTGTAATACAGCTCCACAGTCCCTTATCTTTTTTTGAAATCTAGAAATGTTGAACAACCAAACTTGTGTTATCTTTATAAATTTGCAACAAACTTGTTTGGTGGCAAAAACCTTACTGAAGTTGATGTGAATTTATCAATAGTCTTTAACCCATTTGATAACTATTCTATTCATATGATTTGCCACAGAATATGAATAGGCTTGATTATGGAGTGCTGTCCCAGAATGTTCCAATTATATTTTGAATTTGGAAACATCTGACCCAAATGTTTTAGATAAGGGATTGTGGACCTGTAATATATCCCTTTGGATGATTATTGATTTAATGTATCTCTCTTCCACTAGACCATAAGGTTCTTGAAGTCAGAAACTAAAATGTAATAAATTGTATAAACTCAGTATATCATAAAATAAAAAAGTACTGTATATAGTAGGATATTGATTGGCTTAAGGATTTTCTCATTGTTTTACTTATTTCAGGTGATTCATTGGAAAAATTCCCTGTCTCTAGAAATTGTCAGCTTGGTCCAGAATGCCAGAAGTTTAACTCCCTGAAGCCTGTCTCCATGTCACAGCTGAAGCAATGGAAACATTTTTCTGGAGATCATTTAAATCTTACAGATCCTTTTCTTGAAAGAATAAGAGAAAATGTGTCATTCGTTTTTCAGAATATAACTAATCAAACTGCTCTATAATGAAAGATTACTTCATGACATTCACTTGCTTCCCCTTTAAAAAAAAATAATAGTAATTGAATGTAATTTTTGAAAACTAATATAGTTATTTAAATAATAATAAATTTTGTTGCAAAGTGTATCATAGTTTTGATACACAGTCAAAACTGTTGGAGTTTAATTTTTTTGTATGTATTCTTCAATGTTAAATATTAAAGACATACTTATATCATGATTGTTTATTAATCATTCCATAATTAACATCTCTTATCAAGTACCTACTAAGGAATTTTCATAGGGAATATAAAAAGTAAAATACTTATTCTCTGTCTTGGGGAAATCTAATCTGATTAGGAATATTAGACATAGATGTGTGAAATAATTGAAAAGTTGATAAATTTAAACTGTAGCTCAAAGGAGAAAGAGAATCAGAGGCTGGAATTGCAGATGCTGAAGATGTTGGAGGTAATAGTTGCTACAGGGCAGTTTGAGTGCGAATGGTCAGTAGGTTGGGGCAGGAAAGGAAGGATGATGGGACACTTCAGAGCACTGGTTCCTTGTCTTGAGATCTCAGACTTATGGGACACTGGCATGCAATCTATAAAGCTATGTCCAACAAACATTGTACATTGAATAAATGTTCAACTACCACAATGTCAAGGGGTGTCTATAGTAATTTTTGACATTAAAAAGAGTTTTAATGCACAAAGCAAGCGATAGAAGACTGAAGTCAACAAAGAAAAAGGAGTTACTTATTTGATCTCCAATTTGTGCTTCTGTAATCAGCTTTTGCTTCATTTAGGAAAATTTCTTCTGGACTGAATATTGTTTTGAGGTATTGAATAAATACTCAATTATGTATCATCAAAGCAGAGTTCTTTAGATTTATAGTACCATACCTGGGCAGTTGTACATCTAGAATTCATGAACAGGCAGTTTGGGACCAAATTTGTCAGTAAGGAAGTAGTCAACGAATAACAGGCAAAAATGGTGTCTCTTGGCCTTATGTATAGACCCCATATATGAGGCTTTATGTGTAAAAACATTTAATATCTGTCTTCCATCATATTATTCATTGGTGTAAAATCCTTAAAAAATACAATAAGGGCCTAGCAACTTGATTGTCTAAATTGTAGTGAATGCTAGAATGTGCTGCCCAGGTTGCCTCCTTCAGGAACAAGGTGCTCATTCTCCAGCTGCTTGCGACCACTCATAGCCGAATCCCTCCTTAAGAGTCACCCTCAGCTGCAAGGAGCTGCCTCACCCAATGTTCACTCCCTTTCAGGGTGGCTGGCATACAGTGATTTGTTGATGCAGGGTGGCCCAGCTCCCTTACCTTAATTCAGGGCAACTCTAAAGGATCATTCCAACTTCAGAACTCCTCATCGAGGCCTTTTTGTTGCAGCTTCATTACAGTTCAGATTCTCTCTCTGTCTAGTCCTGCTTCCCTCGCCCCCTTACAGATGTTTCTAAGAGCACCTCCCAACAAACTCTCTGCATGCAAATCTGCCTCAGTCTCTTTTCCAGAGAACCTGACCTAAGACACTATCCACAGGGGTATCACTGAGGAAAAGCATTTTAATATGTTAAATAAATACTTAAAGTATAAGTTTTGTTTTATACCACATTTAAAAATTAACTACAAGAATTCCTTGGTTTGCAAGCATAATTCGTTCTGGAAACAAACTACTCGTATTGCAGGACATCGCTCATTTACCATGTTAAAAGGTATTAGAAATGTTTGCTTGTCTTGCAGAACACTCACAAACCACGTTACTCGCAATCCAAGGTTTTACTGTATGCCGAAAAGAACTACTGCTTGTATTATACATTCATAATGTGCAACCATCACCACTACCCATTTTCAGAAGAGTTCTCCCTTTCCTGCATCCTGGTTACTGTCAACCCAGAGCCATTGGCCTCCATCCCCCAGCACTCAAGGCCTCTATTCCAGTGACTCTCTGGTTGACAAATGCAACGAACACTTTTCAGTCTCTATCTTGGCTTCTTGGTCACATTAGGTATTGGTGAACACTTCCTTCTTGAAACTCTTGCCTTCCTTATTTTGATTAGATGATTAATTTGTTATTCCACAAATATTTATTGAGTATCTAGTACATATCAGACATTATTCTAATTGTGCAACAACAATGAATAAAACAGGCAATGTCTCTACCATCATGGTGCTTCTAGCTCACAGATAGATAATAATATATGTAATATGGCAATGATGGTAAGTACTATGAAGAAAAATAAGCATAATAAGAGAGATCTTAAAGTGGAGATGGTGACTGCTTGATATATAGGGTGGATTTATGCAGAGACCTGAAAAAAAGTAAGGGATTGAGAACCATGACATTCTCTTGGAAAATGTTCCAGACAGAAGGAACCTCAAGTGCAAAGGTCTTGAGACAGGTGAAGAAATGTTTGACATGTTTGAGAAACAGCCAGAGACCATTGTGGAGAGATTAAGAAGAGTGGTGAGAGATGGAGTCAAAGAGGTGATAGCGGTAGGGGAGATCTCTTCTCTTCTCCTTCTGGTATAATGATGCGAATGTTGTGCTTGATGTCCCACAGGTCTCTTAAACTATTTTCATTGTTTTTTATTCTTTTTTCTTTTTTTTAAAGATTTTATTGGGGAATTGGGGGAGGGGAACAGCGTTGGGTGATCGGGGAAGGGGAACAGACAAGTAGCTGTCCTTTTGTTCTTCAGTTGTGGAGGACATCACTTCACTGGCCCATGTTGGTATTATTGCGCTCTTTCCGGGTGAGGCAGATCGGTCTCCGGCCACTGGATGGCTGCTCACGGCAGCTCTTGGCAGCTCACTCTCGCTGCCGGCTGCTCACGCCAGCTGCCAGCCACTCATGGTGTCTTAGGGCAGTCCACTGCAGCCTATGTGGTCTCAGGCAACTCATGGCAGCCCAGCTCCAGGTCGAGCTGTTGTTCATCATCCTAGCTGTAAAGGGCAGTGTCACTGGTCCTCAGGTGGGATCCGAACCGGGGCCCTGCTGCTCAGAGCTGGCGTCCCAAGCCAACTCTTAACCAATGCGCCACTTGGCCGGCCCAATTCATTTTTCTTTTTGTTGTTCCAACTGGGTGATTTCTGCTGTTTTGTCTTCTAAATTGCTGATCCGATTCTCTGCTTCATCTAATCTACTGGTGAGTCCTTCGAGTATGTTCTTCATTTCAGCTACTGTCTTCTTTAGTTCTAACTGGTTGTTTTTTATGATTTCTCTATCCTTCTTTATGTCCTCACTAAGTTCCTTAAACATTCTTATCATCAGTGTTCTAAAGTCTGTCTCTGAAAGGTTGGATACCTCTGTTTTGTTTCATTCCATTTCTAGAGGTTTCTTCTGATATTTTACGTGGGACATGTTTCTTTGTTTCTTCATTCTGGCTGTCGCTCTGATTGCTTCAATGTATTAGATAGATCATCAGCGAGCAAGTCCGTGTGCTGGCTCCACTGGTTCTCCAGCCGCCCTCAGCCTCACCGAGTTGAGCAAAGAGAGTCCTCACTATTTTCTGCTTCCAGCTATCGTGGAACTCCTCTTCCCGGCAAAGTAACTCTGGGCTGGTGAGCACGGTGTGGGGCCGGAGGATCTCACCCCCAACCAGAGAAATGTCTTCACTACTGAGGTGTCCCTCATGGGATTCGCCCTCTCTTGTCTCCGCCCCTCCTACCAGACTCAACGTGGCCTCCTCTTTAAGTCTTTTGTTTAGGGGTTCTGTTCATCTAATGTTCAGGGGACTTCCGAGGTTGAATATTTTATAAATTACTTGTAAATTTGGTGTGATCCTGTGAGGCAGTTGGCACAGCATCTGTCTATTCCGCCATCTTACTGTCCGGTTTGGACATTTCTTAACATGTACAGCTTGTATCAGAAATCCTGTTAGTCTTTATTTGGAAAAACACCCTATTAGAACTTGGGTGAGCCTCTCAAGACCTTGGGTGTTGGTTGCTGTAAAAGTGTAATACAGGGATAAATTTTTGAAAATTTAAAGGCAACCTGAGAGGGGAAAGTGAGGGCAGAGATAAAGGAGAAAGTGGAGGGAGGTTGGCATTGAGTTAGATAAGAGGCCAGCCATGGGAACCGAAGGAGGATATTTGAATAACAATTGTTCTCCGTTTAATTGTTTGCTAAATAGTGTGGGAAGTCTCCCTTCATCTCTACCCTACCCTGAAGTCTTGCCAGAATTTCTAGAGGCTGAGTTTCCTGAGGGAATCCATGTGACATGGGATAAATGCAGCATATGTGTCACAAAAGCTGAGAATCATAGATGATGGTAATCCCTTGGGAATTGAGAAAAGCCTTGGACTTTGATAGGCCAGAGATTTGTGGGGGTTCAAACTTGTTTAATCCAGATATTAAAAGGCACCCAGCTCACATCTGAGTTGCATATAACAAGCACTTTTTCTGTGGCAGATGCTCAATTTATAAGAATTCTCTCCTTTTTTTTTTTACCTTGTCTATGCTCCCAGCTCATAGCCCTGCTATGCAGCACTTAATATATTTTCTGTGTCTGTTTATTTACCTGGCTCCCACTTCCACTAGGTTGAATTCTTTGAGGACAGGAATTTCCTTTCTTACTCATGCTAGGATCACAGGGCCTCATATGGTCCCTTGCATAAAACAGCTACTTTTAAGTAAGAATGAATGAATGAATGAATGAAAGGTATTTCACTGCTTTTCTTCCCTTAATTTCCTTGATTGGTTCCTTGCTCATAGAGTTCAGTTTCAGGGTATTTATTAAGCCAATTGCTGAGCATGGAGCTGTGCTTGACAAACTGAAGAAAGCAGAGCCAGCAGTATTTTCTTGCCTTCTGGCAGCATACAGACTTCCCTCTTTGCTTCCCTGATCTCTATCAATAAACTGCATAAGCTGACAAAACCTGTCAGTGAGATGAGTGTTATTTGAGTCACACAATTCATTTCTGATTACAGAAATACACCTTTGACACCTTCATATGAAAATGTTCTTGCTATAGGTGACAATGTAAATACATTTAATCATGTTCTCATTAGGACTGAATCACTAATGATTACTTATAATCTAAGCAATGCTGCTCTGCAAAATTCAACTTCCTGTCAGCCTATCTATGTGTCTAACAGGGGGTATGATAAAGGAGCAAGTCAAAAAACCCTGCTATCATTTTGTCTGAGTGGTGTAGTCATGGCCTACGTCACATTACGTGGGCAACTTAGTATAATAATATTTTGCTGGCAATATTGAACTTCTGTGACTTACAGCAAACAATATGTAGAATCAGCAGATAGCAGTGTTTCTCTGAGTTGGTCCCAAATTAATGTACTGGGTCCTAGAAGGGTTTGTAGACATGCTATTTTTTTTGTTAAAGGAAGGGCTCAACAAAGGAATATTATTTTTTCTTAACCTTGTATGATTCAGGTTTTTGTTTAGACTAGTTTCCTGTGGCACCCTTCCATAGCTGGCCTGTGTTCTTAGCTTTAAGCCATTACAAATTTTTCATCCCTAAAATCCATTGTTATCCACAAAATCAATACTAATTCAGAATACAGCTTTCATGATAAACTGAAAAAATTCCTACAGATAGAGACAGAAAGATTTGTTGGAGTTTGTTATACTTACTTGAAAACCTAAAGGGTTAAATGTAATTTAATCTTTTTGTTTGTTTTTTAAAGATTTTATTGGGAATTGGGGGAGCGGAACAGTGTTGGGGAATCGGGGGAGGGGAACA